ACGACCAAGCAGCGCATGTTTTATGCGTGCACCAGAGAACCAGCACAACAACTCTAAAGACAAAGGGCATTGAAAGATTATCCCTCTTTTTTTATGCGAGAGGAGATCAGAAAGAGCACAAATAAAGATTGCCGACGAAAGTTCCTTTCATGGCGCCATTGGCCAGGTAATGGCGGCCTCATCTCACAGCGATTCAAAGGAAAAAGCATTATGGATGGAGTCTGCCTGAAAGGCCGTTCATATTCCGGGCCTATGTCAACACAACTGTTTCATGCAAATGTTTCTCACCGAGGTATGTTGAAATCGAAGTTTTTATGTTCCTTCACAATTTTCCGCCTCTATAGGGCTTTGGTGGCTTCACTCTCAAGCATTATCCCGAGTATTTGTGCTGGCCAAGTAGATTGAGGTGACGAACGGGCGCATTCCCTCCTACACTTCCAACGGCCCTCGGGCCTCGCTGTGTTCTTGGACCTGAGAGTTGGAAACCAATCCTATGGGAAAGGTTGCTTCCGTTTACACAGCAAGCCTCGAGGAGACACTTTCCCCGTTTCAGGTTTGGTTAAATTGCCATCATGGTCATACTCTGATGTTGCCTTGAGTGTTGGCTCGATAATGATGCCTTCCTATAGAAGATCGCTTCAAGTACCGCCTCAGAATAATATATGGAAATTTCGGATCTATCCAAGTCGTCCATGCTTCCCTCTTCTGGTTCTTGGTCTTAACCGCCATACCGGTCATATAGTAAATGACATTAGCCAAAGGCTGTCATGCCGTCTCTTCTGGTGCAATTGGGACTATTCTTCAGATGATGCTGTTCTCAGAGCCAAGGGGAAAAACACTTATCGTTTATGGCATGTTCGATGATCCAAAGTCGCACGGCCCACACGGTCGGATGTCTCGCTAAACTTGCTTCCAGGGATGGATCTCTGTCAGTGATTCTCGGCACCGTAGTATTAGGGGGGAGCATTAGTGTGATTCCTTGTGCCGGTTGACATGCTGAACCAGCCTCTCCTAGGCCTTTGCATCGCTTATTTCCTCACTATTGAACTCTTTCACGCAGTATAAAAGTCATAGTAGGGTCTACAAGGTGCTCATCGTCTGTCCTGATCTCCCCTTGATCCAGGAAGGACTTTCAAGCCTCCCGGGATATCGCTTCTTTTATAACTCTGCTTTCCATCTCTACTCTCTCTTTCGTATACGCAAGCTTACTTCATGGATTCATTTTTCTCTAGTCATTCGCGTGAGTTACCTGTTTACTTTCACAAGTACACTGCTCATAATCTGTCGTATTCCGGTCAATTATAGTTCTCTTTCGCTCTGCTGGTGAGTGCATTCTGTTGGCTGCTTTGGGTATTGTCTTAGTAGTAACATCCAGGTCATCCGCTTCCCCCACCTTCCCAACAACGAACGAAACCTCATCGAAATATTGCGACAAGGGAAGAGGATAATTCCATTTTCGTGGCTACGTGCTTTCTTCATCTACCTGATGAG